GTGACTCACTAATAAAACACTGCAGAATCGTTTCCCAGAAGTCCCACATTCCTCAAATGTGCTGACTTTGAAAGGAGGAAGGGATTTTTTGTTTCCCTTGTGTGACTTGAGAACTTGATATTTTTAGAGCATTCATTTCCTGCATATTGTCTTTTTTTGTATTGTGTTTCTGCATTCACATTAGTGGCCCGTTCATGTTTTTGTAGTTTCTGCTGTCAGTCAACATAACTATTACTATCGCTGATTAATAAAATCTATGGGCCCTATCATACATCCGGCGCAGTGTGGCGCAAGACGCAGCGCAATAGTCTTTTGGTAGTTTCAGCTGGGCGTAAGAGTGGTTTTGAGGCGTTGCGCTAGGCTGTTTAAATAGCAAATGCATTAGCGCTCATTTGTGCGTCCATAGGCGTTCTGGTTTAAAAAGGAAGGTGTTCTGAGGCGGACCGCTGGCGCGTCGCTATTTTGAGAATCTATAATAGATTTTTCATTAGACCAAAACTAACCCGGTCTAAACTCCAGCGCAGAGTTGCGCCTCGCTTACACACTGCTTAATACACACAAGAGAGCAATAGGCAAATATCTTTACATATGAAAAATATTAAATATTAAGGATATATATATGATATAATAAGAATAGATATAGGATATAAATATAAAGGATTAAAATATTACAAAACATATTATTTTCTAGCCTACATAAATATGAAAAATCACTGCTTTTATGTCTTCTTCATCTCGGGAGGCTTTTTCAGTTCATTCATAACAATTTGCTTTTGTTTAATGTTATTATTATTAGCAGTATTATTTATTATATCCATATTTATATTTGTTTTATTAAAAACAAGCTTAGATTTGCCCACCTGTCAGGTTTTAGACCATATGGGGCACAGCATGTGTTTTATGAATTTGCTCTTCAGTGTTTAATTTCTCAGTAATGATTAAATCACACTGAACTGAGCTAAACTGAACTGAACTTAAACACTAAAAACTGAACTACACTGTTCCAGTTACTATGACCATTTATGTGAAGCTGCTTTGACACAATCTACATTGTAAAAGCGCTACACAAATAAAGCTGAATTGAATTTTAGGATATAACTCAGGTTTTTGAGCACACTTCGTTAATATTGTTCCTTTATTCGTTTGCTGGAAATTAGAACTGAATTTAGAAATAGTTTTGAAACGAATATTTGCGCTTAACAAACGCAATTAATTATTTATAGACTAATTGATGTCTGTGCGTAAAGGTTTCCCTATCCAAGAGCGAATGTGAAAGTAGATCCATTATCTCTCATTCTCACGCAGTAGATGCTCTGTTTAACAGTTTTCTGTAAAAAAAACTGTGAACTGTTTGCTAGTGAAATGCTCAGTTTTTCCACTTAGACTTACTTTACGTCCTGTAAATGGTGAATGCGCTTATGGCGCGACGCAGCTGGCTCTTAAAGGGAATGGGAGATGAGACTCTGATTGGTTTATTCTCAAAACACACCCATAACTCATTAAGAAAATAAACTTAACCCTTTTAGACCATGCGCCACGGCTCAAAGCGGATTTTCCTGTCCGTAAATTAGCAAAAATGCGTACTGACACGCCCTGAAAGCGTTTGCGCCCTGCGTTTTGCGCTCTGCGCATGGACCGTCAAAATAGAGCCCAAAGAGATTGTTCACCCAAAGCTATTTACACCACCATAATATCAAAGCGTATTTGTATTTTAATGGGGTGGTCCACTCAGGTATCATATTTTAAGCTTTAGTTGATGTGTAATGAATCTGTATGAACATAAACAACATCTCCGAATGTGAGACGCTCAAAGTTCAATGCAAAGGGAGACATTGGCTTTTACTTAGCTTAGCAAAGCCTACAGCGAACGAATTTGGGGACTAAAAAAAAATACATCCCGACTAGTGAGATCACAAATGCTTCAGGTTACTCGCATTCACCATGCGCACACACCCTGCGCAGCAAAGGGGCGTGACCAGAGGCGCTGTAATGTTATTGTAGATAAAGCTAAAATGGCGTCCAAATGCTTCTATTTCCACAGAGCTTCTTCTGTTTCTGTATTTGGGCTTCCAAAGAACACGACACGAAGGGAGAGGTGCTCACAGTTTAATTTAATTGTGTTCCATTCATTCATTTTCTTCTCGGCTTAGTCCCTTTATTAATCCTGGGTCGCCACAGCGGAATGAAACGCCAACTTATCCAGCACGTTTTTACTCAGCGGATGCCCTTCCAGCTGCAACCCATCTCTGGGAAATATTCATGTTCCAGAGAATTATAAAAAATGTATAGCTAGCATTTAACAAAGGACAGCTTCCATAATCTCTCTTTTATTTGATAAAATTGATTTATTACATGCACAGTGTCTAGCGTTAACAGTATGTTGTAGCAGGGATGTAAACAAGGATGTAAACAATGGAAGATGCTGTTTTGCACTGCTAACAATTTAGCTACAATCCGTCAAACTGCTGTAAACAGCCACAATCTTCAGCAGCGGTGCAGTGTCTCTCTCTGCGGACGCTTTCCATGCGTTACAGATCTCTGATAATGAACTCGCAAAAGATATGCGGACATTTCCTATTACTTAAACATGCTTATAACCCGATTATATGTGAAATTCACTTGTCAGAAGTTATTTTAGAGAGCAGGCGTGAGGTTCAGCTGTGTCCTCTTCATTTTCTGTCTGATTCAGGCTTAAACTGATACGGCTAACAGCTGCTCTGACTGACAAGTGTTTACACAGCGCTAAAGCGTGTGCTTGCAGTGGTGTGACACTTTTCCTGGTGACGTGGAGCTGATCCACAAATCACAGCACAGTATGTTAGCTGACCAATCAGAGCCTCTTGAGGGCGGGGCTTTTAGAGGAACTAGGAAATATGACAGTGGCTTTCATGTTAGCCGAGTAGCTGTATATAATCAAAGACAGATGTATGGATGGATAGCGTGTGTTTTCTACAAATGAAGCATGAGCACACATTACTTTGCATCTTATAAACACAACCAAGCCTTAAAATTACACTCTTTAAAGGTTCATCATTGTTTGACACCAGAACGGAACTTTTATTTTGAAAAGTGTATTTCACATTCTCTGTTTTTTCTAGGTTATTAAAGGTAAGCATTTACAGTTATGTTATTTGAAAGCACCTAAACAAACACGTCAATAGCTCAGCAGGACCCCACCCCCCTTTTTATATCTCCACATGTCACTAGACACGCCCCTTACTGCTGATTGGCTGTAAGTACACGCCCCTTACTGCTGATTGGCTGTAAGTGTGCTTTTTGACGCTCTTTAATGCATCTTTAAGTAAATAGTGAATGTATTTGTTCATACAGTTAGATTTTCTTGAGAATTTGCTCAAATCATGCTCAACCATCAACTTTTTTTTTAAGTGATAGTCATCCAAAACTGAAAACTCTTATCATTTGCTCAGCCTTCACTTGTTTTAAAACTGTTTGGAGAGAGAGAAACAACATATTTCCAATATAGAGGAAGATATTTTGTGGTTAACGGAATAAAGAAACAGATAAAGGCACTTGAGGATAAGTAAATAGTAAGTACTTTTTCATTTAATTTTATCCGTTCAACTACCCCTTTTTTGTGTACACATTTCTACTTTTTTCTTAAGTAGTTATACAGTATATATATTCCAGAGAAAGGTACATTTAACTTATACTAATATGAATTTTAATGAAATTTCAAAGTGTTTGCACCCAAATTTGTACTCATTGTAAAAAAATGCCGGGTTCCACACAATTTCTTCATCTTCTACCAAGACAAATCAATTAAATTGTCCCCAAAAAACTCAAGAATTGTGTTGTTTCAGCTCATTTAGCAATTATATAAGCCTAACTTATGCTGGCACACAGCTGTCTAAATGTCATTTCAGAAGTTTGATACATCGTTTTGTGAATTGATTTTCCATTTGCTGCCATTTATTCTAGCTCTGCCACTATATCCATATGTTTTATGTGTGGCCTACGTGGCTGAAAGGACTGAACTGTGCATGTATGTTGTTTGGATGTGCTTTTAGGGGAAAGCATTTCTGTCCCTCTTACACTGAAGATAATGTTGCCCTGTAGGAATGTTTGGCTCGTAGAGCTGATCACATGAGTTGTGTTATCAATCACTTCACTTTACTCTTCACATCTTCAGGATTTAGAGCTTTGTATACTGGAACATAATGTCTTCAAATCAGTATGTTGGTTGTGATTTGGCCATCCTGTTAGCATTCAATGTATACACTAAGTGTAATTGAATACTTTGCATTTGATTATCATGTTGCATATTGCTTCTGAGTAACTATGTTGGATTAATAGATTTTTTTGGTTCATAATAATTAGTTTGAGAGCTAATTTGAACTTCCAACTGAACTCTTGTGATCAAAGACCTCTATGATAAATGAACCAAAAACAGGACACGGCGTCATATAATGTGACCATAAAAGCTAGTTTTTTTTTCTTGCTATAGTTGCAACAAAGAGCATAGAATCACCTTCATCATTCTAAGCTCTTTGGTTGCCATAAAGCAATTATAATTCAGCTGTTTGTTTTAAGACATGAAATCTTAATCACAGTCCAACAAAGCTGCTATAATTTTCTTTTTTGATCCAGATACTAAAGACACCCTTAAAATCTATTTAAAAAAAAAAGAAAAAGAAAATATGATTTTCAAATATTTAAATTTGTTACATTATTTTGGTCTGGGATTGGGAACATCAAGCCATACTCTTTGGGAATGACAGGAGAGCAACGCTGGTAAATAGGCCTAATAATAAAGACAAATCTTTTCGTTTTAATTAAACAAGAAAACAATATTGAACTATTAAGTCTTACATAAGTAAATATAAGGCTCATTCCTTCAACAGAGGTTGGTTGTTTAAGAACCATCTCAAATTACTTCACTAAACTCCACTCTATAGCTGGATTATTTCCACGTGTTTGTGGTGAGACAGTTCACGTCAATGTACTTTAATCATGTGAAACTGCAACAAAACCACACGACAGAAGAGAGTATTTACACGTTTCTTTCAAGTACAAGCTTTCTAAACCGCTCTGAAACTTTAAAGAGACTGATCTTGATTATTTATAATAGGGATCTGTGAGAATCGCTGGCCGCGGACGCTTATTTCTCCTGAGCGCGCGCCCGCGCGCGAACTGCACAGCTGGTCGCGCGCATTTGCCCATGACTCGCGCTCTTCATTCACTCCGGGACTCGGCGGGAGAAGCTCAGTCTTTCTCAGCGAGGAGAAGAGCTCACTTTAAACCTCCAATGTAGAGAAACTTTGTTAGACTGTGGACTTTTAATCGAGTTTTAATGTGTTTTACACAAGAGCTGCCGACGAAAGTTTAAAGAGCGGTTGAAAGTTGTGCGCGTGTCCGTCTATTTTGTTTTGCTGGATGATATTCAGAATGCCGACGACCTCTTCGTTGATATAGTTTACCTTCTCATTTGGCCGTTTATTACTTAATATCATTACTGCTGGTCTGCTGCTTGACTGGATTTAATCTGCTTCATGTGATGTTTACGGACTCTTCACTTTTATTGTGCAGTTTTGAGTCTTATTTGTGGTTCTCCACAGGTGAAGGAGTTTGAACAGCTGTTCCCCGTCAGTTTTCAATGGTTTGACTTTATTCACCGCTGGAGACCCTGACAGAAGCCACTGAAAGACTTACTTTGTTTAGTTTTAGTTCGAGTTTTCAGTCACAAACATGGATAAATACGACGATTTGGGACTAGAGGCGAGTAAGTTCATTGAGGACTTGAACATGTACGAAGCGTCGAAGGACGGTTTATTTCGCGTGAAGAGGGACGCGGGAAACAACCCTGATTTTGAAGAAACCAGGAAAGTTTTTGCCTCAAAAATGACCAAAATACACATCCAGAAGCAACAGGAGGAGATGGCAAAAACCAGTTTGGCAGCAAGGATCAACGGGAGTCTTTCTAAAGTGTCGGATAACACATTGTACACCAAAGACAGACCACCCATCAATACTTACAGACAGGGCGGTGAAGCGGCAGCTAAACCTCCCATCATGTCTGGACCAATGGTTGGCACTGCCAGTGTGACTCCATATGCATCTTATGAAGGACAAAAACATCATTCGACCATCATACAGCACAATGATGGACCCAGCAGCAGGGTTTATGACAGTCCTGGGAATGCTGTTAACTCAGTACCCGTGCCAGCCCGGGCAGCACCCTCTGTCAGCCCGCCTGGCACATGGGCATCAAGAAGCGGGTACCCCTCCCAGACACCATCTCCCTTTTCAAACAGTTCCTCCTCTTGTAGCTCACCCGGAGCAGGTCAGAATCATTCCCCTGTGGGCTTTCTTCAAATCTCAGCAAAGTCTCCTTCCCAGTCGCCCACAGGGACATACAGGGACGCATTTCAGGTTAGCCCTGGTCTGCACTCCCAACCCATCTCTGCCCAATTGTCTGCCACTCAAAATGGAGCAGATCATAACATTGGCACCCCTACCCAGGTGTCCCAAGAGGCACCCCAGACCAAGAGCACTGCACCCAATAATCCAGCAATTCCTTCTCCCAAACCAGTGCTCCCTATTGAGTCCCCTCATGAGGAGTCTTTCCATGCGCTCAAACTGCCATGCCCGAGCCTTCATGTACAGACAGATCAGGGGCCATCTGTGGCTGAAATAAAATTAGAAGCTCTAACCGAACGCTTGGAAAAGGAGATGGACACCCAGCCAAACGCTGAGTACTTTGGTAAGCACAACGTGAGCACTGACAGTGTGTTTTTCTGTTTAGCTTTTTAACATCTGCAATTGTATTTAGTAGCATGCTGATTGAAAAACCTTCTGCCTGTTTCCACTTGACCTTCACTCCATATGTGTGTGTGTGTGTGTGTGTGTGTGTGTGTGTGTGTGTGTGTGTGTGTGTGTGTGTGTGTGTGGTTTTTGCCACAATGAGCCATACAGTCAATTGTGCATGAGTGTGTGAAAGAGCGATGTAGATCCATGCTGCTGGTGCATTTCCAGGATTTTTTTTCCTTTCCAGAAGCCATTCCTCTGCTTACTTTGTTTCTCATCTGTTGTTCATTTCTTTTATTTCATCTCATTTCGCTCATTAAAGACTTTGCATTTACTTTTTTGAGACTGTAAAATTAGATAGTTACTAAAGAAAAGTGAGTAAACATGTTGTAACTTGGAAGCTGACTTAACATTTATAATTATGCACAGTTTGTTTAACTTAAGGATGCTTTTTATTTACATTTTTTTCCTAATATTTTTTAAGGGTTTTCACTTTTATTATTGTGGTAGGACAGTAAAGATTTGGGGAGACAGGAAAGTAAGGGGGAGCAGAGATAGGTGAACCATCGGCAAAGGATCTCGAGCCGGGAATCGAACTCGTGTTGCCGTTTACACCTCAGTGCCATGTGTCTACGGACTAACCACTAGGCTATTGGCGCATACAAGGATGCTTTTTTAAGTAAAGTCAACTTGTTGCTTTGAACAGTGAAGGCTGTTATCTGTTGTAGTACATTTTTCTTGAAAGGTTCAAGCTAATGGTTATTTTTCACTTTTTTTGCCACACTATTGCACAGAATGAGAATGAAGCTGCCCTAAAATAACATTGCCACCCTTCACCCCTTGCATTCGCACTGTGGGCAACTAGGGAGGGAGTGTGCAAAACAAATATGAGTTCATTCATATTTGCACTTCTAAAAGACCTGCTACTTTGTTCAGCCTCACTATGTCACAAAAACCAAACACACAAGGTGTTTTGTGATCTTTTAGAACTTTACTGACTGCAGAAGGGAAAATTATTCACCCCCCTGTGAAATTTGATTTATTTTTCAAACATTTACCAAGCCCCTATTATGCATTATAAAGGGTCATATTTTGGTTATGGGGGTCTCCAACAGCAGGCTGATCTGCATGCAAGGTCAAAAAACACTTTTATTGTCTTATAATTAGTGCTGTCTATCGATTTGAAAAATTAACAAATTAATGGCACCTTTTTTTGTAATTAATCATTATTAATCACATTTAAAAGACTGAAACTTGTAATTTTGGCTATTTAAATTTAAACTAAAGTAAACGCAGGACAAAAAACTATTTAAATTTAAAATATAATTGTTTATTAGAATTTTTGTTTAACTTGTAACACAGATTTCTTCATGTAAACAATATACCCACAATAAACCATCAAGATCCTGGCTTGACATCCATATTTATTACAGAAATAAGAACACAGGCATGTTGGTGCCATTTGAATTTCAAAACAATCAATGACAATAAATAAAAAATTTATTTTCATGTTGGACTCTTAAGTAGACTGCAAAAAATGCCAAAATACAGGCATTCCAGATATTGGAAAATGGAAAACTATAATAATAATAAAGTATTGAATACAGACAATTGTACTCATTGTAAAGTTGTATTGCTGATAGTTTAGAACATTAATTATAAAGTAGAAACAATTTTACTCAGTCCTCTTTTACTGCTAAGACAGTTCAGTCTGTTGACATTATCGGGGGGAAATGTGGACCTTTTCTTTTGAATGATGTGAGCTGTCTCACAAGCAGGATCACTGAATCAGCATGCATTTCGGTGACAAATTTTTTTGCCGCTGGTGCTGCGACAAGGACATAGGAAGCATCAAGCGGTACATCAAAGGCACGCACAGGTACACGTTTTGTCACACCAAAGACTAATTCTTACAGGGACTTTGGTCACACTATCTCTAAACATTTAAACAACTTTGAGGCACAGCCTGTGGACGGCAAAATTGTTGAGGTTTAGGCGTTTGTTATTAGGTAACTACTTTTCAAGGTATATATATATATATCTATATATATATATATATATATATATATATATATATATATATATATATATATATATATATATATATATATATATATATATATATATATATATATATATATATATATATATATATATACATACACTTCTATCTATCTATCTATATATCTATCTATCTCTCTCTATATTTATATATAAACTATAATGTAATTCAAGTGCACAAAATGAACTTGTTTACCTCTAATGAATGTTGAAAGAATGTTAAAATTGGCCATTTTCCAATTTACCACGAGAATCAACGACAACTTGCCACAAATTAGATATATTTGCCGTTTACTTCCATTTATAGTCACAGCTCTAAGTCAGAGCATACCTCTGAAAAGTGAGGAAGCATGCGGTGAGCGCTTGACCTTTAACCCCAAACCCTATGTCGTCATTTCCCCAAGACTCAGCGGCTAATGCCCAATGCTGCTGAGAGGGAGAGAAAGAGTGAAGAGAGGGAGGGAGGAAAGGAGAAGGAGATAAAGAAAGGGAGAGCAGAGCGCGGAAATTTCGTGCCCGCTTCTTGGCGCGAATCTGGCAGGGGGGAAAATAGAAGCGAGCCGCCGTCGCCAGTCGCTTCATAGATGGTTGTTTTTGACGCCGCCAGTCCCGCGAGCCCTTCTGTTATCGCAGCGCTGCGTTAGCATTTTTAACATTCTTTACCTCAGACCACATCTCATCTCCACATCTCTAACTTCTTTAAAGCGTTTTAGAGTGCAGTAGTCGCGTCAAGCTGGTCCTATAAAACCTGCACAATGGGGGTGAGTTTGTCTGTCCTTGTTGTGTGTTGTTAGCTTTGCTCTTATTTGGCTTTTGAAAAATGCGTGCGGCAGTTTGAACAAAGACTGATGGAAGCAAATCATGATGCCCGGAAAGAGAGGCACGGAGGTAAACGGCGGAGCCCATGAATAACGAAGGGGTGGTGGTGGAAAATTTGGTGGTTTAAAGATGCCCGGGTCCCGAATGGATTCCTGTAGTGTCCACTAATGTCCTCCTCAATTGGTTTCTGGCTCATTTTTTCAGGTGCCTCGTCGAATGCGCCATTTCTGTAATATTAAGCACAACAAAACACCGATACATTTGACACCGCAAACTGTTGCTGTTTTCGCCTTTATCCGTCTCCAATAGTCGATGTATTGAAGTCATACGAGGACTGGGTCTGATATGAGTATCGTGTGCAAGCTGTGTATGTTTGAGCTTCCTCATATATTTGGCTTTTTAATTAACACGATGCCAGCAGCCACTGTGAGACAGCCTCACACGACAGCCTGGATATAATAATACACATTTAACGTTATATCTGATATTAGTCAACTTTATGTACACAGCCCCCAATCTACAAGCCCTGAAAACTGTTCATCACCACGTGCTTTGTGTTCTCAGCACCTGTTTCCTGCTTCACTTATCATGAACATACCTGAAGCTAAAAACAATATTGCTTTCTGTGCTTTTTGCCCATTGTTGGCTTCTGGTTTATTGATATGGTTCATATGTGACACTTTTTAAAATACAGTAAATAAATGTGCACATTTACAGATCATATGATGTACTTCAATGTAGTCCCACATGAGCAATTCCAGCGTTATGATTGTCATGTTCAGTAAAAACTTAAAACGTAACTTCACAGAGGAAGAATATGCTAACATTATTTTGAAACCTCTGTTTATATTTTCCAAAAGAACTAACCACAGAGTTGTGGGGTCAAAAATATCAATCTGTAAACGTTATTTATATTTTAATAAAGGGAAATAGACCTGCGTTATGGATGTGACCAAAAAAGTTTGCGAGTTTACAGCATGCACATGTATATAAAAAGTTTGTGAATTAAACTGCACAACCCAAAACTAATAATGTTAATCAAAAAGATAAGAGCTGGCTCTTTATAGAACTAACATGATTAAGTTTATTTTGTTTGACATTGTTTGCATTTATAAGTAAAAAGCTTCGTTATGGATGTGACCGATGTGAAATTGCCACTTATGTGACTTTGGTAAATCAAAAATAATTGTGTTAAAACATTGACAGATACATTTTTGAGTACATTTACACACTGTAAAAAACAAGCCTACACACAAAAAAAATACTAGAAAGGGTTTTGCTATTTTGATGAAATTGGAATTGCTCATTTGTAGGCATAAAGCTAGTTATGCACACATTATTATATTTATGTGATGTATTTTGATGACAATATATTTGCTTTCTTGTGTTGGTTGGATGGTGATGAGGATATTATCTAGCCATTTTTATTTTTGTTTAAGCTTTGGACATCATTTTAGTTAAAATAAACCACACAATATGGGTAGTTGGTTGTAAATATTACGCATTTAATTCCACAAATAGTTTGCATTTCATTCTATTGTTATTTCATAAACTGGTCTAAATGTCTGAAAATACTAGTAAAATATAATAATGTCAAATGTTACAATTTGTACATGTAATCTAATAGTGAGTAACGTGTTTAGTTATAGGCTGGTATATGATCCTGATGTTATGATAAACTTGGATAAAAATATCACGGGTCTACGGTATTGTGATTACTGCTCTACAATATATTCCTTTTACATGTCTGGGTAAAAAACAATCGTCCCCCATTGAACACAATATGTTTTATTTTAGGATGTTTAACATCAAACATGTCAGGCTAAATAATTCAAATAATAAAAATTCATTGGCTTCTGCTCTCTTCATTAGTTTCAAAACACAGATTTCTTTACAAATTAAAATGACATCTTTGAATTTCTTTTCTGCTGGAGATACTGTTGTACCAAAAAAAATAAAGTAAAAAAAAAAAAAAAAGAAATTTCATACACTGTAGGATGGTATAACAGAACATTTTGGCGCTTTAAAACCTTGACTTTTCCATACCGCAGTATACCTTGAAAATGATTATCGTCCCATGCCTACATGTATTACACATAATTAGTTTTGTTAATGTTTGATTGTTTGATAGCTCACAGCACATTAACTAATGTTAACAAATAAATTCTGCATTTATTTAAGGAATATGTAGTTATCAATGTTGTAAATGTTAAAATGTGCTCAGATTCTTAAATGCAGAAGTATTTGATTGGTTTTTGTTAGCTAAAATAGTTCACCTTAAAAGAAACCTCATTGCTAACTAGTACAGATTTCTTAACTTGACAATTTTTACTAATTTTACCTGTAATATAAAATTGATTTTATTACATATTTTATTATTATTATTATTATTATTATTATTATATACTAAATTAACCTGGTTAGTTACAATAAACAAAAAGTAAATCACAATTAATATATCTAGAGCCGTTCATCAGGAAGCTATTCCTTTTGTTTTATTAGAAACATTTAAAGAGATCCCAGATTATTGACATTCTCAATTTTTAAGTCACATTTTAATACTGCATTATGTAATATGTATTTTCAATGCAGCCTCATTGTAATAAATAGAGATACGGGTGTGAATGTTGAAAACCTTTAGCTGTAAAGTAGCTCTACACAAGACAATAGTGTAATTATTCAGTGCGCTTTATTTCAGTGATCCAGTTAATTTCAGAAGCCGCTCTTTGTATATTCATATCCTACATTTATCACCCTCTGCTCTCTAGACACATTTATTGGCGGCCAATCTGTTGGTTTTGTTCACAGTTGGCTCTGAATTTCCCAAAGAAGGACTCAAGGTTTTAATACATAGTATGAATTTCAGAAGCCTTTTTCTTTTTTATCCCCAAGGATGGTGATTAACAGTGTCTCCATTTATCATTTAGAGAAAATCAAACCGAGCAAAGGAGAAAAAACAGAGAAGACTTGAAGAACGGGCAGCTATGGATGCAGTATGTGCTAAAGTGGATGCAGCCAATAAGGTGCTCTTTAAAAGAAAGCATTTCTTAATGTGACCGATTGTCTTAAAATTTACAATTGTTCATATTTCTGCAGGGAAATATTAAGCTAAATTGCTTCATGTTTTGTTTTATGTTTTACTACAGCTTGAAGATCCTTTATCTGCCATGCCAGTGTTCAAAAAATATGACAGAAATGGGTACGCTCCCCTTTTTTTCCATTCTGTCAGACGTCATAGTCTATAAAATTGTAAACTATGATGTCATTTGTTTTTGACATTGTCATTTGCCATATTGATATCATGAATGTCTGAACCTGTCACAGGCTAAACCTGCAGATTGAGTGTAAACGGGTCACTGCGTTGAGTCCAGATACAGTGGAATGGGCCTATGAGCTGACCAGAGCCAACATGCAGACGCTGTAGGTATTAAGTAAATGAGAGGTAATCCAGCATCTTGTATTGTTTGATGTTACTGTGCTTAATTCAGATGCTACTGAATCATGCTTTATTGAGAGAGTGATTTGAAGTCACTTTCTGTTTGCAAGTGATATTTAACATTGACTTGAAAATTAAAATTGGGATGATTTACTTGCCTAATTGCAAACCAGCTTTGTTTTTCTTTTGTGAAAGTAAATGATAAAAGAATTGTCATTTTGGGTGAATTGTCAGTCCGTTTAAAGCTTTTAAGGGCTTTTCTACAGCTGGTCATTTAGCTGTTTTCCATGAGCAGCATTTCTGTGAACTGTTGCTACAAGCCTGTGACTAATGTGCATGTGCTGTTTGCTTCTGAGAAATGTTGGTGCTTTTGTAATTCGTGCCGTTTTTAAAATGTTAAATTGTGGCATTGTTTTGGCAGATATGAACAGAGCGAGTGGGGATGGAAGGAGAGGGAGAAGAGGGAAGAGATGAAGGACGAGAGAGCCTGGTATCTGCTGGCCCGTGATGCTGACTCCACACCTCTAGCCTTTTCCCACTTCCGATTCGATGTGGAGTGCGGAGATGAGGTGTTATATTGGTAATGATTATTACTTATCACACAGAAACACTAAATTTATTTTGTGTCTTATTAAGATTGCACATTTTAATAATTTTTTTCTGATAATATTAGAGATTTTTTTGTAAATGTATTTTACTATTTTTAAATGAGAGGATTTGAAACAAAAGTGTTTCAACTAAACATAGAAAAGCTTTTAAGTGCTTTGACTGTTAAAATATATGAAAAAGTGTTTTTTTTTTTTTTTTTTAAATCATTCCATTGTCAGCTTTGTGAAAACTACAAAAGTGCAATTTTGTGAAAACGGTGACGTCTGCTTAAGCTTATTATGCATTCAGTCTTTAGGCATGTGAAACTAAAACAACAGTGGCAGACTACAGGTCTACATGTATGCAGACGCGTAGGGTTTCTTCACAAAGAAATGCATTATGCAGCAGTTTTACTTGTTGCTGATAGGTATGGATGTGGAAGGTTTACACAGTTGTCCACTGTTTTCAGTATATTGTTGTGTAAACATGCACTTTTAACACACTTGTTGTTTTTGAAAACACAAAGAATTCACAGGAACATTTGTAATTATCATATATTAACGTCTGAAAGCTTATCTAATTTATGTATTTATTTGTTTGTAGTTTTTATTTTGAATGAACTGGAATAACGAAGCACCACCTAAATGTAATCACTGCCAAGCTGCTCTTACCATGAAACATATTTTGTTGAAATGTGGAAGTTTGAATGCCATTAGACTTTTCCTTATGAAATGAACTCTCTTAAGAACACTTTTAGCAAAGTAACAAATAAAAAATGTAGTTTTTATTTTATGTATTAGCTCTAAAAATCTGATTTTATCCCTTGTAACTACCCCACCAAGAAAAACATTTTTGGATTGAATTTCTTAACTCCTAATATTGCTAGTTAATGCACTCAATGCATTTTTTCAACACATCCCATAATCTCTAAAATATCAGCCCATGATATGTCAAACATTTTGAATACTGAATCATTTAGATTTTTTCATAAATTATTTCAGATCTTCAATTAACATTGTTTTTTTTTTTTTTTTTTTTTAACAATAAAATCAAACTCAAGTGTAGTAGTGCAACAGGATTATGCTTGTTTGATTATTTTTGTAAACTAACAATGCTGTTTGTGTAAACCATTATTTAAAACAGTCATTCTTTAAATAAGTTTAACTGTCATTATTTAAAACAGTAAAAACATGGTCAACCATTTGGTAGAGCGGCAGTCAAAGAGTTTAGTATTCATTTGTTTGTTGATTTTTAATTGTATATTTATTATTGAAATGTTCTTGCGTTGATAATAGCTTTTGTTGCTGACATGGCATTATATTAAAAAATTCATTACATTATCTTAATTCATATGTTAATTTAGCTTGAAATTTATTCTTTTTTCTTAGACGGGGTGATTAAAGTGGTTCATTTAAAAAGTGTAATATAAAATCTTATTTATTTATATATATATATATATATATATATATATATATATATATATATAT